TAATGTTTTCACTGAACACGGCCCTTTTGCTCGATACAACAACGAGACGAAAAATTTCATAAATAATCCATATAGCTGGCATCAGGATGCTCACGTTGTCTATGGTAAATTTGAAATTTTATCCTGAATAAATGCGTATACATTATTACTTCTTGTTCTCATTGAATCCGTCTCGTATTATATATTAGTCGACCAAGTATGTGCCAAACCTTCCTTTCTTCTGTATTTATTTCTAAATTAAAAAAAACTCCCATTAAAACATAGCCTTTCGGAGTCGGATTTTCTCGAATTCCAGAACAAACTAAAGTTGAAAATGAAACTCAAGTACATAACTTTCTTTTACGAGCATCTATCGTATGCTTTAATACTGCTTATAGTCAAATCAAAATGATAGGTTGGTGAATATGTCTATAAATTCCTCGTAAACTTTTTCAAAGTTTTTCCTAAGTTACAAACTAAAGAGATTTACCTTGGTGGAGAAAGGTAAGTTAAAACAGCTGATAAATTAGCATTTGCTTTCTCTCTAATTCTTTCTTATTTTTCAATGTAGTTATGCCGGTTTTTATGTTTCTTATATTGCGAAATATCTTCTTGATGTCAATGATTCCAAGGTATGAATGTTTGATTTTTAATACAAGGAGAGTTATAATTTAACAATTCACTTAGTTTAAAATAGAGGGGATATTTATCAATGATCCAGTGCTAGATCAATACTGGCGTCAAATCCCATCTTCTACACTTGCTTATTTTGCGGAACAAAATCTATTGAACTCTACAGCTCAAGTACGAATGTTATATTCTCAAACACATTATACTTCGCCTCACCTTTATATGTATAACTTAGGCATCATTTTGTTAAATAGGAAACGCTTCAACGTCAATACAACAAATGTTTGCCATTATATCAATCCAAAAAATCTTCTGAAGCAACCGGAACAGATTATTTTAATGGCACTGGCGAGTGTGATATTCAAGTTATCGCTTATTCGGATGTTCGGGAATCAACAAATCCGTAAGCATTATTATAACATCACACCTGTTTTTTTGCCATTGAGAAAAGAGGAACTTAATTTTTGTTGTTTTAGTTGTTTCTTTGAATATGATATTAGAGAAAATTGTCAGACTAATCCACCACCCCAGCAACCTCTCAATTTAGAACCAATCAATTACACGGAATACTTTCAAGTAAGACTGGTAAAATAAATTTAATCCACATTTGTTATTGAACCATTCTCTGTGTATCTTCTAATAAAATAGGACCCGCGAGTACGTAAGGCACTTCATGTACCCGAAGAAGTTTCACCATGGGATGTCTGCGTATCTGGAATTTTGGACCCAGTTGATCCTTCGCTCGTACCTGTCAATATACTTCCATCTATTAATGAACGAGGAGTTAAGATTTTAATTTGGACGTAAGTTTAATAATCTATTCAAAGTTCAACTCGTATCAAATTTATTTTTCATGAACTGACATGACAATAGTGGTGACAAAGATGCAATTCTTAACCATATTGGCATCGAATGGTCAATTGGAAATCTAACTTGGGCAGGCGCGACTGGATTTCTGGTGAGGAAAATTCATCATTTATTTTCTGTTTACCTTTGGTTTTATTAATATACTTGTTTTTATTATGTACGTATGAAAGGAGAATGTCACACGACCTATATGCGATGCTAAAAACCAAGTTGTGGGCAAAATCCAGACTGAACGAAACCTTACATACATTTTAATTCATAATGCTGGCCATTTTCTGACTGCTGACCAGCAAGAGGTTTCGCGTATGGTTTTGCGAAATGTTGTGTTTGATGATCCCGTAGAATTCGCACAGCATTCTTGCAGATAACGTAGTTTTACAAAAAAAAGTTTACCGTTGCATTTATAAGAAAGATGCGTAACGCTTTAAACTCCAATTTCTCTTAAAAATTTTATATCAATTCATAACGTTAGCTATTCATTACGTTAATATGCTCCGTTAACTGCTATCATTTTTGAATAAATATAATCATATTTGGTTAATGATATTTTAGTGAAGGTTAATAAGATGAAGGGTAGGGTCTTTTGGTTGATATAATATATAATTGATAGTTGACCCGTGATCGACATTATTAATCATCTGATTCAACTCCCAAAAACGATTCTGGTAATGATTTTTGCTCACCTGCTTTGTATATTAATGATCCGTAAAATTAACACAATATCGATATTATTAGTTAATTTACGGATCATTACTATACAAAGCAAGTAATGAACATCGTCAAGACCCTACATACAAATCAACGATTGATCGAGTATTGGATCGTTACGAAGATTTTTTTTACCAAAGAAATGTGCACTTCCAATCAATATTTGTAGAATAAAGAAGAAACTATTTATTATAATATAAGTAAAAAGCATCGTACACAAACAGCACAACGGTCACTAAAAATTGCACAAGAAGATTCCGTAGCATTAAATGTTAGTTACGAAACTCAAGTCTTTACTTTCAGTGGATTTTTTTATATTGACAAATGTTGAATAACAACTGGTGATTCTGAATGCGTATGGTGGGGAATACGTCAGTAAATCCAATAGGATAACAATATAACAAACAACTATTTTTTCGAACGCCATACAATGATGATAAAAAGTACGTGACCAATCTGAAGAGTTGATCAAAAAATCTTTGCTGATGTGGATTCTATGTACATAGTGAAACTTAATATGGATAATAATCCGTATAATTAGTGAAATTTGTTATATTAAGAATTATTTATTATGATTTGTATTCCATTACGTATATCGAGTTTTTATTAGTTTACATTATATCAAATATTTATTATATTGAGTTTCACTATTTTATTTGAAGAAATAATATTTTCTGCATTCTCACAAACACTTATAATTTTATAGCTGTGAGTCAGTACGGCTAATTCAGAATGAGTTCTTTGAAGATTAATGACTTGGATTATAATTCCTTTTGAATTAAAGAATCCAGTAAATAAAGACACATTTTCTTTGGATGCAATCTTGTTTGAAAATGACTTGAAGGATATTCTGATATCTAAGTAAGATTTTTTTTGGTCACATCTTCACAAGTCACTTGATGCAAATTATTTTTTGAGTTATCGAATATTATAATAATGCTCTCACAATTCTAGTAAGTCACATTACTTCTCTGTAACATTGCACATATCAGGCGTATCTTTTTCCCATTTTTTGCAGTTATCAAATTATGAAATTCAGGAATTTGAGGATCATTAGACCAAAGGAAAGAATAATATATAAGTTGTTAATAACATTCATATATTGTATCTGCATATAGCATCATTGTTATTATTTTGTTTTTTTTCATCCACTATCACTGAATGGGATAAGTCTTGCAATTTTGTGAGATTGGAAATACTATAAGATAAGATAAATTAATAAAATAGTATATATCGATCATACAGTTATATTAATATTAAAATTTTATCTTTCTTGCCTTCCACTCAAAATTATTAATAATATATGGATATCACTATATGAGTAAAATAATATTGTCTTAGATTCTTGACCTGCTCATCCTGCTCATCCAATTTCTTGAATATATTGTTTATGTGACATTGAT